GGGCTCTTAACAAAAGAAAAAAAGCAAATTATCTGTTTCAAAGAAGCCAGGCTTCAACATGAGGGTTAGGGCTCTAGAGTCCTCCATTTTTTGGCTTTTTTTTTTTTTAAATAGGGATTTGATGTGAATCCTAGATTGCCTGTCAGCCTGCCTGATTCCTGCCTGCTCACCCTAAAATAAAACATATTTGTTGACATGCTTGTGCTTGGAACCAGCTGATTATTCAAAGGAGAGGCCAGAATTGGCAGAAGAAACCAAGTAGTCTTGCTCTTTCATTTATAAATGTGAATGGAAAATCAAGGGAAACATGAAGCACAGAAAAGAAGTATCACAAGTTAGGTTGTGGTACATCTGCTGAACTTAGTATTATGCAGCTATTACAAAGAATTTTCAATATAAAATAAAATGCCTTATTATAAGTTAAAAAAACAGTCTGTCTCTAGCTTTTAAGGGAAGATTGTCAATATTTTGTGTGGCAAGAAAAGCCACATTCATTTTCTCTTTGCAGATCATTCATTCAAACCTGGAATATATCCGCACCTAATAACATGAGCCTTTTCTTTCATTAAAAATCTTTAACTGGGTTGCATGGCTGGCACAGTCAGTAGAGCATGCAACTCTTGGTCTCAGGGTTGTGGGTTTGAGTCTCACATTGGGTATAGAGCTTACTTAAAAATAAAATCTTAAAAAAAAATCTTAAAGCAACATCTGTAAAGATGTTTTATCCTATAGAATGATTCTGAACAATACTAATCCTTGTCTGTGAACATATACCTTTTTTAATGATATTTGGAGAAAAGGAATTAGCTTTTTCAAAACAGGAGGGGGGAAGCCTATAAAATTCTATCCAATATTATTACATTAATAACATGAATTTATTACATTATTACATGAATAACTATAGTTTTATAAATTAAGTTTATAAAAATTAAAAGTTGTCTAAAAAAAGTTGTGTCTAGAAAACAAGATTATGTCATATAATAAACCAATATTTTAACAATATACATCTTTAGTAAGACTCTTAATGACTTTTTCTTAACACTTTTACATATTTTTCCAGATTTTTATAATGGGAAAAATAAACCTTATTTAAACTGTTCAAATGACCTTTGAAATTCCTTGGGTTTCGTAAAAGTGAGAACATAAGAACCCATTATCTATGAAAATGTTAAAAGGCAGTTCTTCATATTCAAAATGGACAAGGAGAGGCACCTGGGTGGCTCGGCCATTGAATGTCAGGCTCTTGATTTCAGGTCAAGTCATGAAATCCAGCCCTGCATCGGCCTCACACTAGGCATGGAGCCTGCTTAAGATTCTCTCCTCTCTCTCTCTCTGCCCCGCCCCTCCCCATACATTCATGTTCTCTCTCTAAAAAAATAAAAATAAAGTAGATAAGGAGTCCTTAAAAATAGCGTGTAAAACAAGAACTAGCAACATAGTCTTGAGAACACACTTTTATGTAATGATAACGTTAGTAATATTTTCCTATTCAGTATAATAATGTACTAGTAAAGAACTATTGCTTCTTTCTTATAGACTAGACTTAAGTTTTTTTTAAATATTTTATTTATTTATTCATGAGAGACACAGAGAGACAGAGGCAGAGACACAGGCAGAGGGAGAAGCAGGCTCCATGCAGGGAGCCCGACATGGGACTCGATCCTGGGTCTCCAGGACCAGGCCGTGGGCTGAAGGTGATGCTAAACCACTGGGCCACCTGGGCTGCCCCTAGACTTAAGTTTAAAGTGAAAAAATAAAATAAAATAAAGTGAAAAATATAATGCAAAATTATTTGTAGGCTTCTATTTAAATTTCTGAACCAACATACTGCAAAACAATATCTCAATCAGGGAATGAGGAAGTTAGATGTTAAGGGTGCTATTTGGGGAGTATTGATCAGGCACCAAGCATATTTTCTGCCTTCTTCTTTCACCAATATACTGTTTTTCATACTCTAAATCTAAAGAAAGCTTCTTTGTAATGAGATATTTTAATTCTGACTCCTGCCATACCACAAAGTTTGCTGATCTATAAGTGGATAGACTTTAGAAGTATTAAATCTCACAAGTTTTTAAATAATTGTATAAACATTGGCATAATCTAATTTCTTAGAACTGTGGTATCATGAAGAGGTAGTCAGAAATGAGGCATTTGTAAATGTATTGCATAATATAATTTTTATCAAACACAGTAGCATTGACTATTTCCATGGCAGTACAAGGGATGGAAATAATAAACAACCCTAAACAGGAAATCTCCAATTTAACTGACTTTCTTGACAGAAATGATGAATGCTGTTCATTCTGGTTAGAAAGAGCTGTCCTTTGTCTTCTTGCAGTATTCACCAAATACGTCAGTACCCTAGATTAGCCATGCTTAACAAAAAAAATCTTTTGTATGTTATATGACTGTAAAGAAGTGGAACAATTTTAGAAAATAATTTTGTGGTGTGGACTTGTGACAATATTTATAGCCTTTAATCTAGTAATTCTAGCCTAAGTGTAAAAAAAAAATAGGTATGGAGATGCTATAATAACAAAATATTGAAGAATGCCATCACAATCCATATTTTAGTTCATTTTGATTCTTTTAGTTGCACAAATTAGAAATTATTATTGTTTTATGTGGCTAGTTTTTAACTTAGATTTACCTATGTATTTATCACTTTATTTACTGTTTCTTCTTGTAACTCAGAGGTTTCTTTTAGGATCTTTAATGAGAATCTGCTAGTAACCTTTTCTTTGATCTTTATTTTTTCCTTTTCCTTTTTTTGCTCAGGAGAGGTAAGTAATGAATAACTCAGATTCAGATTCTCTCTTTCTGTTTATTTCTAATACCTTTATTTTGTCCTAATTCTTGAAAGATTATTTTATTGGATATAGAATCCTGGGTTGACAGTTATATTCTGGTGTCATTTGACACCAGATGACTTCACCACTGATTTCTGGTGTCATTTGTTGCTTTGGGAAGTCAGTTCTCACTTGTTTAATTATCAATGATGTCGGGCTACCTGGGTGTTTCAGTAGGTTAAGTATCTAACTCTTGGTTTCATCTCAGGTCGTGATCTCAAGGTTGTAAGATTGAGCCCCATGTCAAGCTCTGTGCTCATTGGGGAGTCTGCTGGAGATTCTTTCTTTCCCTCTGCCCCTATCCCCCATTCATTCTCTCTCAAATAAACATCTTTTTAAAAATTATCATTGGGGATCCCTGGGTGGCGCAGTGGTTTGGCGCCTGCCTTTGGCTCAGGGCGCGATCCTGGAGACCCGGGATCGAATCCCATATCGGGCTCCCGGTGCATGGAGCCTGCTTCTCCCTCTGCCTGTGTCTCTGCCTCTCTCTCTCTCTCTCTCTCTGTGTGACTATCATAAATAAATAAATTTTAAAAAATTTAAAAATTATCATTGATCTGTCCTTCTACCCCCCGCCCCACCTTTTTTTTTTTTTTTTTAAGATTTTATTTATCTACTCATGATAGAGAGAGAGAGACAGGCAGAGGGAGAAGCAGACTCCATGCCTGGAGCCCGACACGGGACTCTATCCCGGGACTCCAGGTTCATGCCTGGGCCAAAGGTAGGCGCTGAACCGCTGAACCACCCAAGAATCCCCAACCTTTTAAGAGCTTTTGTTCCTCTTTGGTGTTCAACAGTTTATGCTTTGGCTTTATTGCATTTTCTGAATTTGAGAATTGGTGTCTTTCATCAGTTCTAAAAACTCAGATGTAATTTTTTCCAATATTCCCTCTTATTTATCTAGGGTCCCCAGTTAGACTAATGCGAAAACTTTTCTCTATATCCATCATGTCCCTTAACCATACATATTTTCTTTTATTGAAGTTCTGTGCTTCATTCAATAAAGAAGTGATTTCTTCATGTTTTCTTCCAATTTATTTTTTTCAGCTATATCTAATCTATTTTTCGACTATCCATAGCGCAGTGGTTCTCAAAAGTTTGGAGTGTCAGGAAAGGCCTGGGTGGCTTAGCGGTTGAGTGTCTGCCTTTGGCTCAGGGTGTGATCCCAGAGTCCCAGGATCGAGTCCCATGTTGGGCTACCTGCATGGAGCCTGCTTCTCCCTCTGCCTATGTCTCTGCCCCTCTCTCTGTGTGTCTGTCATGAATAAATACATAAAATCTTTAAAAAAAAAAAAAAGTTGACAGTGTCCGAATTGCCAGAGCTTGTAAAGAATACAGAAGCCATAGGCTCATTGAAATAGGATAAGTCATGGATCCTTGTGTTCTCACCAAGTGCCCCAAGTATTCTGATACCACCAAAGTTTGAGAACCACTGCTTGAATTTTTAAATTTCATTACTTTGGTTTTTCTTTTCCTCAGGTTGCCTTTGGTTCTTTATCCTTTTTTTTGTTCTGTTTTTTATCAAATTTGGCCAATTTTGACAACCCATGTCATACTTTTGATTCATTCCTTTATTCTTGAAATCTCTTGGACACAAATACTTTATTCTGTATCTGATTATTATTTTATCTGTGGTCTCTGGGGAGTGTGATTCTGTTCGTTACACTTTTGGTTTTGCCAATTTTTGCTAATGGTGTTTGAAACAAGTAATTTAGTAACCCCTGAAGAGTCAGGATTTTTACTTCTGGCTGCTGAGGAATTTTCTTATTGTTTTTCCAGCACAGCTATTCATTACTACATGTATTTTTAAAATTCTTTTAAATATTTTCTCTGACATTTTTAATTGTACTACTTTGAGAGGGGTTCTTATGACCACCCAGTGTGCCATATTGCTAAAAATGAAACACTCAAAATTTGGTACAAGATTTTGGAAGTCTGTTGTCTAATATTGAGGCAGCATAATTTCGTGAGCAGCAAACCTCTAGAATTGTTTATATTTGTATATCTGGTCTTAGAAATATTACTTATTTAATAGCAACTCAAAAAGCTTCTTTGCCTACATATATTTACTTTGAATATTTGCAGCTTATGGCATTATTTACTTTATATTTTCTTTAGCTAATAAACTTTTTTTCTTGTTATTACTTTAAGGAGGTAGTTGAGTTCTGTGTTCAAAATGAAAATTCAATGAACAAATGGAAAAAACCTTTAGTGATTGATAAACTTAAGGTAAGAAAAATGAGGAAACCTTTAACGTTAGAAAATGTATATGTAGGTGGTTTTTTTTAAACCTTAGTTATTGCTGTTGTTATTATATATGTAGAGAATAAATATATCAATAATAACTTTTAAAGAGAAAGTTAAAAATAGAATCCACAGTATACAAATTAGGTTACATAGAGTTTTGTATAAAGTATAGGATGAGGATAGCTTCTTACAGCTGTTGAAAGAAAAAAGATGACCAACACCACTCACTACCATCTGTTGTGAAATTGCTATAGAAGTCAAACAGGACATTTGTTCCACATGGGCTTAGTCTATTTCATGATTTTAAATCCTAACCACAACACATGTAAGAAATTAAAATGTACAAAATAGTATGTTTGGCATAATTATACACAAATGTGGGAGATTCAGTAATAACTGTGATTCAATAAGAAATACTCAAGAAAGCAAATGTAGTTTTTCAGCCAAATATAAGGAAAGTTGGAGAAAAAGGCATTTCTTTAACAGATAGGAAACTGTTGATTTATAATGAATTAGTAAAAAAAAAAATGAATTAGTAACTATTTGGTTTCACACACTGCAGGGTAAATGAAACAACTTCATAAGTGTTTGTTTTTAAATTTCAAAAAGCATAAATAGTACATTTTTTAAATAAACTTAATTCTTGGTAAATTATGTTCACTCTGGCATATTCATCACTTTGACAGGAAATGGCTAAAGCAGAAGGCCTCTGGAACTTGTTTTTGCCAGCTGTAAGTGGTCTCAGCCAGGTGGACTATGCCTTGATTGCTGAAGAAACAGGAAAATGTTTTTTTGCTCCAGATGTCTTTAACTGCCAAGCACCAGGTTACTATATTATTTAAAAACAACTTTCTCAGATATTTTGAGCAGTGTTTAAAATTTTTCTGTTTTATGACGGGAAGTTTTTCTACACAAAGTCATTCGTTTATAAACTAGTCTATAATTTTACTTTTCAGGTACTATGATTTAAATATTTTTAAAAATGGATCTGACATTCTCATTGGATTTATTCTTTTGTTAAACATTATTACATTAAGAATATTAGTGAATAGAGGCCACCACCAAACGGACTGGCAATATAAAGATTATAGTTTCATGACTGAGTATTAGATATTTATGACTAGTTGGAATGGATAGAGTTCCAAATCTTTTTTAGCCTCCCTATTTCTCCATTTCTTCACCATTTTTTTTCTTTACGTTTTTAAAAATTTAAGTAATGTCTAAACTCAACCTGGAGCTTGAACTCCAGACCCTGAAATCAAGAATCACGCACTCTTATAACTGAGCCAGACCAGGCATCCCTACTCACCAGTTATTTATTGATTACTTACTATGTGCCAGGCACTGTTCTAGATCCTTGGAATGTATCAAGGAATAAAATACACAGAAATTCCTGCTCTCATTAAGCTGATGTTCTGATGGAGTGAGACAGAAATAAATAATAAATATAGTAAGTGAATAAATTATGTAGATTTAAAGATGAAAAGTGCTTTCGAAAAAAAAAAGAAAAAAAAAGCTCCAGCTGGGTAGGGAAAACGCTGGAATGCTGGGGATAAATGCAGATTATAATTTAACGGAATGATCAGGATAAGTCTTACTGAGAAAATGATATTCAATAAACATGTAAAAAGGCGAGAGAGTTAGCCACGCTGATATCTGGGGAAAGAGTTTCCACAGCAGAGGAAACAAAATGCATAGACCCTAAGGCAAAAGTATGATTGGTATATTACAAGAAGAGTCAAGGAAGCCGGCCTAGTTGGAAAAATATTAAGAGAAGATATCAGAGAAGAAAAGGACTTATAGGGCAGGTAAGGGCTCATATCTCCTGTGAAATGGGAAGCCATTGGAGATTTGACCAGGGGAATGACAAGATGTTACCTCAGTTTTTTTTTTTTTTAATTTTTTAAATTTTTATTTATTTATGATAGTCACACAGAGAGAGAGAGAGAGAGGCGCAGAGACATAGGCAGAGGGAGAAGCAGGCTCCGTGCACCGGGAGCCCGATGTGGATTCGATCCCGGGTCTCCAGGATCGCGCCCTGGGCCAAAGGCAGGCGCCAAACCGCTGCGCCACCCAGGGATCCCGATGTTACCTCAGTTTTAAAAGAATCACTTTGACTACTATGTTGAGAATTAACAAAAGGGGGGAAGGAAGGAAGTAGGGAGTCTGTTGTAATAATCCTAGTTAGAGATGATGGGGATTTGTTCCAGGGTGGTAGCAGTGGAAAAGGTGAGAAGCAGAAATATCCTAAGTATATTTTGAAGGAAGAGCAAAGAGAATTTCCTGATTGGATATGGGAAAGTCAAGGATGCCTCCAAAGATAATGGCATGAAAAGTTGGAAGAATAAAGGAAGGAAGCCAACTTTTCTTTAAAAGATAATATGGAAGAGATAAACCTGGAATGTAGTCTATAGAAGAGGTTTCCAAACCTGGATTTGTCAAAGAACTGGCTAAGGAACTTAAAATAGACAAACAAAACACACACACACACACACAAAGATTCACAGGCTCCATCCCTGGGGATTTGATTCGGTAGGTCTCGGGTAAACCCTGGGAATGTCTTTTGTCTTTTTTTCCCCCAAGTTACTCTAGTTACTCTGTTGCAATCAAGGACCAACATTTGATTTGTTGTAAAAGGATGATGGTATGATATCTTATATTGTCACTGAACAAGTTAGAAGTCAGTATTACCTTTTGTGCTCATTGTATGGCCCTGCTGTTAAAGCTCTCCCTCCCATAAAGAGTTAATGAAGGATGGAACTGCCACAAAGAAGTATATTGTATATCTGAGAGAAAACACAGTCTGGTTGCATAGCAAAGTGTTTGCACGGTAGACTTGGAATTATCTTCATGAAGGCCTTGGGGCATTGTGTTTTAGATCATTTCCAAAACAGATAAAGAAGGGAATGTAATTGATGCCAATTAAATACTTTGAAGGTTTTTTTAATTTTAAAAGATGAATTGTTACTCAAACTTTCCAAATAGTTCTAAAAGCTTATAGGAAACATATGTAGTCTTCCAATTTGTCTTTTCTTTTTTTGCCCTTCATGAAGTCATATGACATTTTATGTTAGAATGTTGAAAATAGCTATTTTAATTCTATAGCTATTACTAGAAAATTTGGGGTGCCTTTGGGCTGATTTAGGGGATTGTTTTTTGTAGAAGTAACTTATCTGGACTATTTACCAGCCTATAAATGATAGTGTCATTTCGCCAGCTTCTCAGAATAAACTTGCAATTTTTGGAAAGATATTATTCAATATTTACCTCATTTGAACTATAACAAACCATGAATTTAAAATAAGCAAAGGAAACAATGAGCTTCATTAATTAGATCTCAAGACTCATTTTCTGCCTCAGTCAAAAAGAATTTTAAGCTAATGTTAATCTACTAGGAATTTTGTGCATTTTAATATAACTTTGGCTCGGTTAGTAGTGTCTGAACAGAGTGGAAACACATTTTGAGAGACTTAACTTGGATTTAACTCCGTTTTCATAGGCATCTTAGGGACTATCCTTCAAGTCAGATTTATTTTTAAAATTTAAAAAAAAATTATTTATTTGAGAGAGAGAGAGAGAGAACAAACAGAGGGAGCAGCAGAGAAGAGGGAAAAGTGGGCTAACCCCGCTGGGCAGGGAGCCTGATGTGAGGCTTGATCTCAGGACCCTGGGATCATGACCTAAGCCAAAGGCAGACATTTAACTGACTGAGCCACCCAGGCACCCCATGTTCAAGTCATGTTTAGAGGTAATATTGAAAAATTCTTCCTGAAAATCTTATGAATAATCAGGGCACCTGGGTGGCTCAGTCAGTTGGGCATCAGACTCTTGATTTCAGCTCAGCTTAGGTCAACCTAAGATTAGGGTTGTGGGATCAAGGCTCCCTGCTCAGAGAGGAGACTGCTTGAGATTCTCTCTGCCCCCCATCAACCTAAGATTAGGGTTGTGGGATCAAGGCTCCCTGCTCAGAGAGGAGACTGCTTGAGATTCTCTCTGCCCCCCATCTCTCTCTCTCTCTCTCTAAAACAAAATGAATAGATCTTTTTAAAAAATTTTGAGTAATCCGTTTCAAGGGAAAGGTTTTAAATAGTATTTTTTTAATTGTTTGATAGGAACAGATATCAGAGAAAAGCTCCTAGAATGTTTTGCTCCATGGCAGACATGATGCATCCTTTGTTATATGAGACTGATACTAGTGTATCAGTAACTGAACAATGCCTTCTGGGGGTTGGAAAGGATCTTTGAAGTTATCTGCTGTCATTTTCCATCTGGGATTTTGTATTTAGCATTCTTTTTTTTTTTAAGATTTTATTTATTTATTCATGAGAGACACACATAGAGAGAAGCAGAGATACATGTAGGGTGAGAAGCAGGCTCCATGCAGAGAGCCTGACGTGGGACTCGATCCCAGGTCTCTAGGATCAGGCCCTGGGCTGAAGGCAGGTGCTAAGCCTCTGAGCCACCAGGGCTAACCTGTATTTAGCATTCTTGAGATATGACCTAGTACTCCGCTAGATGGTAGGGGTGCACAAAAGTAAGAGTAATGGTATAGGTAAAAAGACAATAATTACTCTCTGAGTTTGAGGAAGGAGATATTTCTGACTAGGTAATCAGAGATTCCTCACAATGGAAGTGGTTCAGAAGCAGAAATTTACTTAGGAATGATGGATAAAGTTAGCACAGTGTATGTTTGAGGAGCAGGAGTCTCAGCACTGGAGTCTCAGTAGAGCATAGAATAATAATTGTTCTCCAGGAGCACTGCAGTTAGGCCTAGCAAAGCATATTTGCAAGATAGCAAGGAAAGATTAAAACAGTAAATTGTTTCCCTTAGTCCTAATTGAGTCAGATGTCATTAAAGTCATGCTTTATTGGGACGCCTGGGTAGCTCAGTGGTTGAGCATCTACCTTCAGCTCAGGGCATGGTCCTGGAGACCTGGGATCGAGTCCCACATCAGGCTCCACTGAGGAGCCTGCTTCTCCCCTCTGTCTGTGTCTCTGCCTCTCTCTCTGTGTCTCTCATGAATAAATAAATAAAATCTTAAAAAAAAAAAGCCATGCTTTATTGAGGTGAAGCAGACAAGTGTGTGTAATTCAACACAAGTTGAATAAATATGCACCAAATGCCATATACTTATAACTATTTATGGTGTACCTTCATAAAAATCACATTTACTCTTACGTTTCAAAATATTTTTGTAAGCAAACATTTGCTTTAAAAAGATACATGTGTATATTATCAACATAAAGTTTGGATTTCACATTGGGAAGTTTTTATTTTATTTTATTTTTTTACATTGGTAGGTTTTTAAATGCAAAAGAAATGTTTTTTCTTATTACTTACAGACACAGGGAACATGGAAGTGCTCCACCAATATGGAAGTGAAAAGCAAAAGCAGCAGTGGCTCGAGCCTCTTCTTCAAGGGAACATTGCCTCCTGCTTCTGTATGACAGGTAAAAGCAAATCATGGTTCTCCCCTTGTGCAGTCAGTCATCCTGGAGTTATGGATGATGTAAAGAAATGAAAGAGGTGACTCTGTGTTTCAGGCAAATTTGCCCATGGACAGAGATATGTATATGTTTTGAGCTCAGTTTCAAATTTTGACATGTTTAAATGTGCAGAATAAAATTATCCTACCCTTTGGGAGGATACCAGTTGATGTTTCCTGATAGTCTACTTTAGGCATTTAGCAGCAGAGTAAACCTAACTTCATAATCTTTTGACTTAACATTTCTAAAATTGCCATCTATGCATATCTATTATCTTTTTTGCTCTTATCTATGAAATATTCATCTTTGTAATAATTTTTATTGTAGTTACAAATACTTAATTCTGCCATAAACCTAGAAAAATACAACATTCACCAATGCTGGTCACATAGTTCAAATTATGATCATGAAGAGAAGTAAAATTAGGAGCATGTTAATAAAAATGGGTTTGGTACCATTTGTACATAGGAAGCAGCAATTAAGAATTCTTCAAAGGAGGGGAGGTAGATGAGGGGATGGGGTAACTGGGTGACAGGCATTAAGGAGAGCACATGATGAGATGAGCACTGGGTGTTATACTATATGTTGGCAAGATAAATTTAAATTAAAAAAAATTCTTCAAAGGAAAAAGTCATCATTTTATAGTTGAGCTTACTATTAAACTAAATGTCATCTGGCCATAATTTTGGCCAGATTAAAAAGTCTTCTATAACATTGCATATATTTATAATAGCACAACGGATCTCCATTTAAAATCAGTAAGAGACATTTATTGAACATCTGCAGTATGATGTTGTCTACAAAGAACTAATTGGAGGTTATAAAATAAGTACACAGCTCTCTCTCTCTAAAGAAGCCCCATAGGTCTCTAGTTATAGAAATAGAACACAAAAAATATCAGGACTCATTTAAAAGAGCAGCATAGTAACAAGTACAGATTACTATGATTGAGGGCTAGCCTGTACATTTTGAAATGCCATATAGTAAAGCAATTGTGTGAGGGTGTCCCATGGAAAACTTTCTGACGACATTGTGTTGAGCAGGCTTTACAAAATGCAAAATGAAAGCATTACTGATGGAATTTGCAAGGCACAGTTAGAAATTATCTAAGATAGTAAACTAGGTGGTGCGGGAATCCAGCTTGCAAAATCTTAGTATTTAGTAGATTTCCATTGTGGGCAATAAAGAACAATATTTTTAATCTACTTTTGATAATTGGAGAAAGGATTGAGTGAGTTATCTCAAACCATGTATCTGTGAGGAAAACAAGGACACAATTGCTGATCCCCAGTGTTCGAAATCCATTCGTTCATTCTTCCAATGCACATTTATTGAATACCTACTAAGTGTAGGTTATAGGAGAACCAGGGTGGAAGGGGGAAAGGATAGGAACATTCCTCTATCCCCAAAGAGTTCAGATTTCCTTATCTAAAGTCTCTTTTGTAAATTATTGATGTTTGCCTGCCTATAAATTCAACCTTTGCTTATTTATAGAGCCCAATGTAGCTTCAAGTGATGCCACAAACATTGAATGTAGCATCCAACGAGATGGAGACAGCTATGTAATTAATGGCAAGAAATGGTGGAGCAGTGGTGAGTATTCAGATCCATCCTTTGTCCCAGCTACTATGTTAGAATATGATAGTTATTAGTTTCATGATCATAGTTCTTTAAATTCTACCTTTGAAAGCATATTCAAATTTAGAAATATTTGATAAAAAGAAAAGTAATTTTTATTTCTTTTTAAATACTTATTTATTTAGGAGAGAGGGAAAGAGTGTAAGGGTGGGAGCAGGGAGGGGAAAAGGAGAAAGGGAAAGAAACTCTAAGCAGACTCCATGCTGAGTGCAGAGCCCAATGTGGGGATTGATCTCAGAACCCGGAGATCATGACTTGAGCCAAAACCAAGAGCCAGAGGCTCAACCAGCAGTGCCACACAGGCATCTCAAGAAAAGTAATTTTAAGATAGCATATCTTGATTAGGCAATATTTCTTTTAAGAGCAGAAAACATTTTTTTCTCTTCAGTTTTATAGTTCACAATTTTTTGTAGTTTGTGACAGAAAATTCATATTAGTGCACACTGTTGATCATTGTAATACCTATTAAAATTAAATTTCAGTAGGGATATATTAAATGAACTCTAATAATTTATAAATAATTAGATTTAAAGAGATAAGATGTACATGTTATTAAAAATTGTTTATTGTGTCACATATTTTTATTGCTTAAAAATACAAGTGCTTAAGCAAAAAATCAGAATCTATACATAAGAAATGTATTTAGTCAACTCTCAGTAATAGATTCACATAAATGATGAGCCCTTTAGGAAACTGCAAAATTGGCACCTAGGTAAAGTATATGATTATCGAAAGATTGCTTCTAACAGGATAACCAGTTTATTACTAAAGAAAATTAACAACATGGAAGCAAATTATGTGTTCAGAAATTTATCAGGGATAAAAAGAAAAAAAAATGAAATTTACTAGGGATGTATTAAAAGGACCAGTAAAGCTTTTTATGTATTTTTTGATTGTTCAATTGTTATTCTTTCTGGGCTCTTTGGAAATCACTTATAAACTAAGAAACAGGAAAAAAGGATTAAACTTTGTGTGTAGTTATTCAGTTACTGAAATCATGCAGTAAAATCATTCTTACATTAAAATTTAAATCATTTAAAATCAGAAATGCTCCTTAATATGTCTTTTTATTAATCTGTTTCAGATGGTCTAATTCATAGAATGGTGTCTTTATTATTTATGCCTGTTAATACTATTTTCTTGTATTGTTAATTTTAAGTTCATGTTTTGCACATTTATTATTTCGTTTCCTCTTCTTCTTGGCTGCTACATTTGCCCCATCCTCCCCCACCTCTTGATTGCTGTAAGTTGGCACCAACTTGAGATTTGAGATTTAAGTTTCACAATAAAGCAGATGTTTTATCTGAAGGAGAAACATCATTCATGTGTATCGAAGCAGGAGACAGCAGTTTCACATTTAAATGCTAAAAGTACTAGTTGGCTCTGTGGGATCTTCTGAATCAAAAGGAATCTCTTCCACATTCCGTCTTTGTCTTCTCCAGGACCCATATTTCTTAGCAACTTTGATAATGTAGTTTTTAAAAGAGGCTCCCATGAAAACATAGAGGATTGGGTTGAGGCAGCTGTGAAAAAGTGCAATGCTCTCTGTAATTTGGATGGCAACATCCATGCGTTTGCTCATGTCGCAGTCAGTGATGAGGGAGTAGATGATGTCTATGACTTGGCAGAGCCTGACAATGTTATAAGGCAGCTGAGTGACCATGAAAACTATAACCACTGTGAGCAGAACTTTGAGGGGTCGGGATTTTTTAATGTCGGGCATCCTGATGAGGGTCCTTGCTGTGACAAAATAGCACACTCCCATGATAAGAAAGGGTATTACAAATCCGATGCAGATTTCCAGCATTTGAATTGATGCTTTCACCGAAGTTCCTAGGTAATATGGAAAGATGGGAAGGCACCTGGCCTTGTGATTTACCGTATAAAAAACCAGCTGAGGTATACTCAGCAAGATGGCAGTCATCCAGACACAGAAACAGACAAGCCAGCATGTTCTCCCCACTCCTGACTGACTTGGGGCTTTAGTTACTGCCCAGTATCGGTCTATGCTGATACAAGCCAGAAACTGCATTCCAGACACAAAGTTGACCGTGTATAAGGCTGAAGTGACTTTGCACATGATTCTCCCTAAAACCCACCCATGAACTGCATTCACTGCCCAAAAAGGCAGAGTGAATAGAAGGAGTAGATCTGCCACTGCCAAATTCAAGATGTACACATCTGTTTTGGTTCTCTGCTTCTTGTAATAGGCATAAATTGCCACTACTATGGAATTGCCTGCAATTCCAATGATGAAAGCTATTGTGAAGAAGGCAGGCAGGAAAACTTTTGCAAATTTTCTGACTTCTTCTTTTATACAGATCACTTCATACTGACTGTAGTCATGAGTGCCATTCACTTCATTTTCCTCATAATAGTAATCCGTTGACTGGTTGTGTTCCAAAGCCATGGCTCCACTGTAAATGTCAAAAAGAATACAGAATATTCATTTTAATATTGTTTAAAAGGAAGCACTTTTTTCTAAAGAATTCATTCATTCATTCACTCATTCTTCCATTTATTTATTTATTTATGAGAGAGAGAGAGTGTATGAGCAGGGTGAGGGGCAGAGGGAGAAGTAGACTCCCTGCCAAGTAGGGAGCCCAAAGTGGGGCTTCACATGGGGCCCCATCCCTGGACTACAGGATTATGACCTGAGCCGAAGGCAGACGCTTAACCACCTAAACCACTCAGACGCCCCATAAAAGGAAGCACTTTTTAATCTAACATATGTTTTGTTCTTTTACTAGAGAGATTGTTGCCATAACCTAGGTGAGGCTGAATCTGCTGCTTTTTGAAATTTAGAACTCTTCAGTGGAGGCCACATTGGAATACATCCCTAAGATTAGTTCTTCATCCTTTGTTTTTACAAGTCTATGTGCAGGAGCTGGGATTTACACAAGAAAGATAAAAATAATACCCTGAGGAATTTTCCTAAACATTAAATCCTAAATCAAAGTAATGATTTTTATGTAAAAATAGTTTTTAAAATATGAAAAGTTAGTCAGATTTCAACAAAAGGAATAAAAAATATTCTATTTTTTACATATACAACTTTTTGGTTCTTATGCAGTTTATCAACAGTAAATTAAATAAAAGATTATTTTATTTATCTAAAAGAAATTTATTTTTATTATTTATAAACTTATTTTTAAAAATAAATTCATGGGTAGCCCCAGTGACTCAGCAGTTTAGTGCTGTCTTAAGCCCCGGGCGTGGTCCTGGAGTGCCAGGATGGAGTCCCACATTGGGCTCCCTGCATGGAGCCTGTTTCTCCTCTGCCTGTGTCTCTGCCTCTCTCTCTCTCTGTATGTCTCTCATGAATAAATAAATAAAATCTTTTTTAAAAAAAAGTAAGAATAAACACTGAGGTAATTTATTTGTTATTTTAAAATAAATTTATTTTTATTTATTTTTTTAAAGATAAAATAAAAAGCGCTAAACCGCTGAGCCACCCAGCCTGCCCCTATTCTTACTTTCACTAGATGGCCTTTATAAAACAAAATCTCCTCTAGTTAACTTACCTTCAAAACCTGTCACACATGCTGAATGCATGCTACCATTCAGTAGCATCATTCCCCCAGTTAGCTAAGCCTTAAGCCTACACTGTCCTTGACTTCCCTCACCTTCATCTCTAATTTCCAGTCAGCTCCTAAATTCTGATTTTTACCTTCCAAACAGATTGTGAATCTGCCTCTTCCTCTTAATTTGCCCTCTTTGACACATCTGCACAATTCAACCATCAGGGTTTCTTACCTATTACAGTACCTTCCCAACTGGTATTTGCTATTCTTATTCCTCCTTACCACCTCTTTGCCAAAATCATTTTTCTTATTGCCAGCAGAGTTCTCCGTCTCTGAAATGTCAATCTGTCACTCTTCTGCTTAATTCCTTACCTGAAAGACAATTTCTTCACCTGAAAGCTACAATCCAGGCTCCTTAGCATGATGCCCAAGGCTCCCTCCATAATGTGATCCTACCCATGGTTCCTGCTACATCCCTCTACTACTATGCACCCACGCTGTGGTACATCTCTCTACTACACGCCCCAGACAGTTATAGTACTCATTTGCAAGCAGTTTGTTGGCACATGCTATGCTGCAGCACGTGTCTACATCATTACTCATTCTGTTCCTTCATCTGATAGACTATTTCCTGCCCTTCCTTAAAGGGCCAATTCCTCCTCAATTAACTTGGCCATCGCCTCCGCAGAAGACTTTCCCGATCCAATATCTACATACATACCCACGTTCATTCTCAGAGAATTGACCCCATCCTGTGGAAAAGATGGGTTTCTTAGTTTCCTAAGAGTATGACCTGTTGGATTTATGTTTATAACTACTACCTTATAGAGTGACTGGTATATACTAGGTGCTCAGTAAATACTTGTCAAACTTAAGGTTTTACAAACAGGTAGAGCTACTAGTCTAGAATTGGATACATGATATGGCAGGAATCTTCTGGTCTCATCATTAGTTGTTTTACCATTTTGGTTCATTATTAAGATGAACTTGCACAGAATTCACAAGTTTTAAAATGTATGTAAAAATCACTTTCAGTGTTTTATATTGCTGAGTTTTATTTTGCCTTTTCCTTAGCTTTTCTGTCTCCGTTTGGTTATTTTTATCCTTGGAAGAAGCTCTGACATTCTTACATCATCATTAATGAAAATATTATTTTCAAAGCAGTGTGTCATCTTATGGTACATTTCCAAAAATATATTCTTACCCTTTTTGGATGAATAAAGCAAAGAAGGCTCCTTGATGAGGAAGTCCTGGAAGAACTGCTTTCATTATGTAAAAACCAGGTGCCAACAGCTTAAAATGACTATGTTTATACTTAAGTTTTTTTGAAAAGTTCCAATCTGGAAGACCGTTCTGGTCATCATTTTCTTATGTGTTAATTATTAACCCAGTATGAACTTTGTTCTTTCTTTCTCATTCATCTCAAATGAG